AAAAAGCATGTTTGAATTCAAAAAGTACAATTTCAGACGGACACATGTTTTTGTCATTTTTGCAATATGGGGCTCAAAATGACGGACTGGATGAGTAGATCCCATTTCACGCATAAAAACAACGTTCAGGTAAAGTTACTAAGTAACGTTCTTAAACTATCCTTACGGAACGTTTCTCAAGAATGTTCTTAGTGTCGGCGGAGCCGACACTCTGTTGTCAACAGAGTCGACTACAGCGACGACTGGAAGCGCCGTCGTCAACGTCTGCGAAGCCGACGTTGCGGTATCGCCGAAGGCGATACTCCAGACAACCTTTGGGGTGATAATTCGGAGCGGAGCGACGAATCCAGGACGCAAGTAGGAAGGGGGCGCGGAGCGTCGCGTTATCACTGAAGGTGATACGCCAGGCAACTTTTCTGTTGCCCGTTTCGACTTTTTGTTGCCAGTTTTGACTTTCTGCTGCCATTTGTTGGTCTTCTGAGTGAATGCTCGCATCAATTCACACACAACCACACAATGGAAGCGAGTTCCGACGTCATTTTGACCAATGAGATGGGAGCGCCTCCACCGATTACACGTCGCGCCTCCACAGCATTTCATGTTAAAAGTGCTTTTGAAGTGTGGGGTAGCCTCCACCGCCTCCACCGCATTACAGTGTAATGCGCGTATTATGAGTACAGATCTCTTCGCCTTTTGATAGTATTTAATGCGTAACACTCAGCTAGACCCTAAATATGGAGTCTCAGGCTCGTCTATGATACATCTACTTTATATGGTTGACTTCCCTGTATGCGAAAACCTAGTTTCCCAGAGTTTTATGGCTGTACGTGCCGTAGTCGCGAAAGTCTATTTCGCGTCGGAACGCCCCATCTTTATCACATCGGGGATAGAAACACCAGTATTTATGTCCTGGTTAACTGTATACAAAGTCCAAGTTGTACCAAAATAACATTTCCGATCGTTATTTTGGGCGAGCTTCTGGGCCATATCCTGTTATTTTCAGTGAAATGGACTACTCAATGCTTTCGGATGAGACTACAAAAACCCAAAAATAACGCCAATTATGGACTACCA